CGGGAGAAGGGCGGTATAGAAATAAAATTATTATTATTATTATTATTATTATTATTATTATTATTATTATTATCATCATCATCATCACATTTTTAGCTCTTCTGACAAGCAAAGCCAACGGGGAAGCCAGATTCGTTTAATAACTGTGTTACTAACTTAACAACTGCAGTGATTCACTTAACAATTGTGGCAAGAAAGATCATAAAAGGGGAAAACTCACTTAATAACTGTCTTGCTTAGTAACAGAACTTTTGGGCTGAGTTGTGGTTGTAAATTGAAGAATATCTGTAGTTTTATATCACTGAAATAACAGACAATAATCAGATCCTTTGATATGTTTAGGATATAGGTTATAATATTTAGAACTGTCAGATTTAATTGTTCTTGAAATGTTTTCTCCTCTTAAAAAATACTGGATATATTTATTGAAATCAAAATTTGCAACAGCCATTGGTAGTGGATTTTGGCTTCTTCTTTAATTTTATTGATTTTATTGAAAATGTACTTAATTTGCATTTTTAAAATAATTCCTATATTTTATCATACAAATTCCCTAGGAATCATGATTATGTGTATCATTTGATTACATAATATTGAATGCCTCATACCTGAAAATTGTTTCAACAGAAAAGCAGGATGATGGTCGAAAGCTTCATCCAAAATATTTAATCTGTTCTGATTATCTAAAAATATCAGCTGTTACCTATTGTGGTACCATAAAATACTAAAGAAACCTGATGTTGGACTAAATTATTTGAAGTACTTATTTGAAGTACAATAAAAAATACTTTGCTGGAAACTTTTGATTCCTTTATCTCAGTAATAAATATTTTCTCCCAGAATCTGATAGATAATGATATTTCTACAAATAATTCCTAGCCATTTTGCATCCTACTATTTTATAAAAATACAGTTGTATTCTCAGTGTTCTTATACAATCAAAAAATTCACATTGCTTTAGGATGATATTGGATTATAATTTCAAAGATTCCTACTCTGTTTCCCCCAAAATAAGACATCCCCTGATAATAAGCCCAATCAGGCTTTTGAGCACATGGCAATAAGGCCAAGCACTTATTTCAGGGTTCAAAAAAATATAAGACAGGGTCTTATTTTGGGGGAAACACGGTAGTAACATGATCATTAACTGGTCATCTAATACCCAGCATTTATATTTAAGTAACGAGGTAAATTTATATTACATAACATCCAGCATCCCAGTACTTTACAACCTGTTGGTGCTTTGTTTATTGGCAAAGTAATTTTAAATGGTAATGTTGCCCCTGCTTGTTTTGTACTTTTTAATTTGTTATCTGTCACATGTTTACTTCAATTATTATAGAAACTTCATTGCATTATATTGGTGCAATTACCTTGGCACCCATACGAATGAAAAGCAGCTGAAAAATATTTAAATTTTGAGAAGTTGCTAACACTAAAAATTCTTAATCTTCTTTAGCAACAAGAACAGTAACCCTAATATTATTTTGAAGGCAATTTCAACATTCTAACCACTTTTCAAGAACATCTCAAGATGGTTTACATAGTAAAAACTTAAGAGAAAGCAAAACATTAAAACTGGCATTTCTTTTTCAGCCTCACAATAAAAACTTTTTCAAATAATACTGAACAACCCCTGCCTACCACTTTGTTACCCAACAACTTGCTGTACAAATAGTGATATGTAAATTTCATTGATTCCACAGAATCAGGTTTCCTAGTATAAATTTGAAGTAATTACTATGTAGACCAAGATTATGTAGTAGCATTTTACATATAAGGAAGATGATGGTACATTTGATGTATGGCTATGCTAATGTGTTTGTGTAGATACACATATAAAATAAAATTTAAATACAAATGAGTTACCTGTAATCATAGTGGGAGCAGACTAAGTAGGCAACCTGTGTGCTGCTAATTCTATCAATTAGATGCAACCTGTTGATCAACACCTTCAGCATTCTTGACCTCCTTTCTTATATTTCTCATAAACTCTTAAAATAGAAGGCTCTTGAAATTAAAGAGTGTCTTTGGCTGCCCTTTGCATAAAAAAATATCTTCAGTGAGACTCATGGAGACATACAGGAGGAAAGAAAAAGAAAAAGACACAATCCTTTCATAGGCTACCCCAGTAATGTTCTTACCCCACAAAATAATTAACCTCTAAGCAGAGAGCTGTGAGAGGGCCATGTCAAAGGGTTGCAAGAATGAAGAAAGAAACTTCTGCTGCACAGAGAGATCCACTTGCATAATGCTGAATTAATCCCTCTATCCCAGGGGTCACTGTGATAGGCTAAAGCTTCCATGAGTCTCAAGAGGACAAATTTTCTGTCTCTGCAACTAGCAACCAGGTTCATTTGTTTGTTTTTTAAACAGGAGTTGCCTGAGTCTGACGCTGAAATAATGTACATGCCATAATATGTTCTACTAAGCTATGATTCTTTCCAATAGAATGCATTATACAATTATTTAAAGTCATTCCAGCTTCAAATGCACTGTATTGGTTCTCATCTGCGTGTCATAGACCATTAACCCTCTACAAATTTTGTGTCATCACAGCATTTCAGAATTGTGACGACTCCAAGGTATGTGTTGGAAACATCAAATCAGAAGGGAACACTATCCCCTTTCACAGAATAGAAACATTATCCCAACAGAGGCAAAAGTTTAATATTAATCTCTTTGAAAAATATAGTATTTACTGAAAAAGAAAACAACTTAGATTTTAAGATGGCTCTCCCATACCCACAAGAAAGTTTAAGAGGGAAAATTCATGTCACCATTATTGTATTCTCTAAGATACTCTCTCACTTCAAAAGTAACTGGTTTTCCTTCCATGTCTATGTAATATGTCAACTTTAATTTGTCACCAGGTAACGGTTTGAAAACCTTAGGCTGTATCTTAAAGACCATGTGTAATAATCTCATAATACACCAAATTAGTTTTCTAAGACCACCCAGGCTTTGATATTGCTGAAGGTTTTTGATTCACACTTCTATAAATTTGAAGATCTGAATATTGTTCAGAGATTCCCATGTTATATATCAAATCAGCTACCTATTGAGGTTTCCCATCAGGTTCCAGTTCAAATATTTGTCATGGGCAAATAAGATTCAGACTAATGAACCATGTTTGATTTTTTTGAATAATTCACATCTGTATTTTTTATTCTCACCCCTCACCTTGAAGTATTAGAAGTTCAGTGTTAAGACAGATAATCTACCCAGCAATTTATCACGCATTTCATTTCAGAATAACATATAACTAAATAATAACTAAAATAATCTCATTAATAATACTTAATAAAATGTTTTTGTGCTTGCAAACATTGATGGCACCTTTCCAAAGCCAATTTGTTTTCTTTCAGCCATTATTGGTCCTTTATATTAAAGCATACTTTTCACTTTCGATCGGTCCACAAGCCACTGATTTCCATACTTTCCTTCCCCTGCTCATCACAGCTCTGATTGCTATTATGACTGTTATTTAGCATGACTCTTATTTTCAGAATGGAAGAGCACATCTGTCTCTAACAGGCATTCAAGTGTGCTGGTTGCTTCCTGTCCTCCGCCTCCAACGTATGATTTGATAAATCAAGAGCTACAATCTACAAATCACTTACTCGGAAGGTCTGTCGCTGCCAACAAATTGCCTCACGTACAAGCTTCCAACTTGAAAATATTTTTAATGCTACTTATGTCCAGGGGATTGACACACGTTAAAAGGAAAAAAAAAAAAAAGAGAGATGCCCGAAGTTCCCAGCCCAAGTGATTTGGAACGTCTAAAATGCAGAGGATTCTAAGTGAGTTTAAATTTCAGCTTGGGATTGTTGCCAGTGAACACACGTTTCAAGTCTAATATTTCATATTTAATGTTTTGGTATTACAGTAGCTAGATATGTGGTAAAATTGTTTATAACTGGCTTATTAAGAGAAAACCGCTCACTAATTTCAGCGGCGGTCTGGTCAGGTCCATTGGGAAATAGCTATTTAGCGGTCGAGAGTAACTTAGGCTGCCCCTTCTGAAGACGTAACTAATAAACCCAGTGGGAAGAGTGAGAGTTAAGTAAGGGCGCGTAGGATCGGGTTGCCAGTCCTACCTCGGGAAACCCGACTACCGTACTGTCGAATTCTGGGGTTATTTCAGTCGTTGTTTTAAACCGACCCCAAAGTAGCGAGGATCCGAGACAGCCTCGCTTAGGGCTCCTCTGTTCCACCGCCCGCGTACGATATACGATTACAGGCGGCACGCGCGATGATTGTGGTGATAAGCGTTAACCGAGGTAAATATGACCACCCTCGGTTCTTCTGAATCCTCGGAAATATAAAGAAACGCCAACAACAGCGGCTCCTCTCTTCCCCGAAACGTCGGGTAAAGGAGGAGAGCGTGCGCGCGGTTGGATGATTAAAAAATAAATAAAAAGACCGGGGAAATACCGCTTGCTCGTATGGAGCAAGCGCCGGGCTGGGAGAGGAGGCTCTTCCGCCGGCTCCCTTTTCTCACGCCAATTGCGGGAGCTGCTCGGGTCTCTGCGCCGGGGTAACTTTATCAGCAGAAGCGCTGCCTCCGATCTCTTTTCCCCTCTCGCCTCGCACCCCACGCTCTGCCGCCTGAAGGATGGCACCGCTCAGCCTCCAGTCAGGCCGAGGAGGAGAGAGCGAAAAGGGAGAGAGAGAGGAAAACAGGAGCGCAAGCTGCTTGCAGCAACCCCGGGAAAACCACCGGTGCTGCTCGCACTCGGGTGCAAACTGCAAGCCCTCCCTTGGGTGGGGGTGCTGCGGGGGGGGGGGGGAAGAGGCTGGGTTGGGTGGGCCTCGCGCGGGTGGGGTACCCGGCGGAGAAGAGGCAGCGGCGGGTGGGCCGAGCTCTCCGCCTGTCCCGCCTTCCTCCCCTTCGTCCCACCCTCCCACGCCCGTGATTGGTTTTGACCGCCCCTCGTCCGGGCTCGGAGGCCGCCTCCCTCCCCAGCTAAAGCGGCCAGTATGTGAATAGGACGGAGCCAGAAGGGAGCAGCATGCAATCGACTCTGCGCCAGCTGCCTCCGTCTGCCCAAGTGCCCCCGCGGCGGCGGCGGCGGTTCCTCTCGCTCCGCGCCCTGCAGCTTCGCCGCCTCGGCCTCTTCCTCGTCGCGCCGCGGAGTTGAGAGAAAGCAGCCCCAGCTGTGTGGGGGGTTTGGCGGCGGCGGGGTGGCGGTGGTGGTGGTGGAGGGAAGAGAGGCTGCAATGCCTAAGCCGCCGCCTCCTTCGCCTCCTCCTCCTCCTCCTCCTCCCCCTGCTGTTTCTGTGCATCCTCCTTCTCCGCCAGCCTGAAGAAGGTGGGGGGGGGGAAGGAAGCCGCTTTTCGCCCGACAAGGACACGCACACTTGCGCGCGTGTGTCGCCCCTTTCCCGCGCTGCTGCTCGCCCGCCCTGTGGGCGAAAGGTAAGGACGGAAGGTGTGTGTGTGGTGGTGGTGGTGGGAAGAGAGCAGCCGCGAAAGGTGTTGGGGAGGAGCGGGGGCTCGGGAGGGCTTGTGGCGGCCCCGCGGAAGAAAGAGCCCGAGGAGGCTGCCGGCTTGGCTTGGCTGGCCGAGGCGTCTCTCTCGCTGCCACACTTCTTTGCGCGCCCCGTGGGGTGGCTCGCTTGTTGTAGTCGAGCCTCGGCCGCTTTGCCAAGAGTAAGTCGCCTCCAGTGGATTGAACGCCTGGCTCGTGAATCCCCTCGCGCCTGCGCTCGCTGCCTGCATGGAAAAAACTTCCTGCTTGGGTGTTTTTGGGTGATGTGCAAGACCAGGAGCGGTAGCGTGGGGGTGCTCTGAGGTAGGGTTTCGGGCTAAGGGGACGCGGGGTTGGGAGGGGGGGTGGTGGGGATGTAGGAGAAGAAGAGATCTGCTCGGGAGGCGACATCAAGCTTTCCTTCCCCGTGGCTGCCACCCTCGTCTCTTCCCGGCACCTTCTTTGCCATGCTCTCTCTCTCTCTCTCTCTGTACCAGACCTTTTTAACTTCCCTCCCGGTGCGGGTTGGAGACACCGTCTCACCCCGCACGATGTAAAAAAAGGTGGTTGACTTTCTCCTCCGCATCGAGGAGGTAAATGACACCAGGGGCTGTCATCTTGTTTGTCGGCCCTACGTGTGTTTTTAAAAGGCTCCGTTTATATAGATGGCTTATTTAAAAAAAAAAAAAAAAAGGGGGGGGGGGGGTCGGTGGGATGGGAACGCACACCACATAACCACTGCAAAATCATCCATCATCACCACAAGGCAGAGGCTATCTTTAATTAAAGCTATCTTGAAAGGAAGAAAAAATGACAAGCTCCCACCTCGGAATTGATTCTGGAGCAAGTCTCTCTTCGTGCCCATCGGTCACTTTTCATGGATCTTTTAAAAGATGATTTTGTTTAAATGCACTCAAAAAAATAAATAAAACCCCAGCGTCTGGTAACTTCCAGGTATTAGCCTTAGTTGCCTATCTCCTTTTTGACCTGGCTTTCCCCCCCATGGTCTCAATCCTATCCCTTCCTCCTGCGCCCCCTCCTCAATCCTAGTCTACTTCCTTAAAGTGGTTTAGGTGTCTTTAGGGCAGGGACTGAATTCCTTTTGTTGTACCTGGTGTCTGCCAATATGTACACAGTGTCAGGTTGAAGGTGTGTCCAGAAATTGCTTGAGGCGATTGTTATGTTTTTGTAACAGTTGAAACCCACTTTTTACTGTTGGAAACGAATCCCAAAGTGTGGAGTCTTTGATATGCTTTTCAATAAATTCTGTCAAATTTGAGGAGTCTCACTTGAAAGTAGATAGGTCTGGGCTCAGAGGTACTGTGTCTCTGTTGGCAGAAGTTGTATCTATGGATCAGATCTCTCTCCCTCACATACACACATTTTTTATGGAGCTTTGTTAATAGTGTTAAGACTATGTGTGTTCTTGTTCTCTTCATGGGGAGCCATTAACATTTTACTGTTTAAAGAAATCAGGGTCTGGTATGGCTCTTATCTATTTTCTGTGTTTCCCCATCCCACCAGTGTATTATGAAAGCATGACCTCTTGTTCTTCTCTGATTAAAAATATATATTGTAATCTAAACAATTGCAAACAATCCTTACTGACATATTTAATGTATAGATGAACTTGTGAAATTGTCCAGTATTTAAGACTGTAAATGTTATTCTATTACTACTTGGTTCTTAAGCTAATTTATTCTATCCTCCTTTGACTTATCGTTCGCCAGAGTTTATTTTTGAGAGTTTACTAAAACAGGCTCTTACTGTATGCCTTTAAGACTGCAGGTATCACGTAGCTGTCTCTTCAAATTAAGCAAAGAGCTGAAAGTTTTAAGTCCCCTTCAGTAGTATGATTTTTTTTAAATAAAAAAAATGCAGTGTTGTTTGAATCCTTTTTAATAAATCAGCAGTAGCTCAGTATTATGACAGGATTAAACTAGCAATAGCATTTACTTTATAAAGTGATATATAATCATATTTTATTGATATTCTGCTGTTTGAAACTTTAGTTATGCACAGTGGGTTACCTGCTCTTATTTGCATGAGAAGCAAGGTTTTATTCTTCGATAAAGAGTCCTCCCCCTCATCATGGTTGTCTCTGGGAGAGTTTTTCCCAGCTTGCAATGAAGTATGGCATTAATATATTGGCTTCTATAAAAGAAAATTAATAATCAGTGCAGTAGTTAGAATAATGTTTTGTGAAAAGGTCCCCTTCCAATATAGGCAGTGTGTTTCTTTGGAATGAATATCTTTAAGAGATGTACTAGTTAAGTATTGAAATGGACATAATAAATTTAGAATATGGCAATTTTACTATAACTTTTTTTTTAATTGAAGTTTTGTCAGCTGCATTATCATTTGATAAAATTTAAGATAAATTGGGCATTCTATATGATAGCTCCTTGGATGATTCTGAAAATATGTACTTCAGAAGAACCAGTGCATTTGAAAGTTTTATATGAGCTAAAATTTCCAGTACCATCTAGCGTAGAATAGTTTAAGCGCTACATTCATAGTTTTTTAAGCTTTCTCTTGACAATAGAAGCCATGAACAAATGTTCAATTGGAATTATTGCCGGAAAAGAATATTTTATGGTTGTCATGACTACAATTAGAGCAGTGGTAGCTGGTTTTCACCTGAACAAGTAGTGGTAAGGAGGGTAGAATTCAAATTCTTTGTTTCTTTGAACTGTGTTTCTAATGAATGGTATCCAAACTTTAGATGTTCAATGCATGCAAAATTGATTTTATGGAAAAACCTTGCTTAGAATAAAAAGCTTTCTCGTGTTGCTGAATTCTTCCTTAAATGTAGTATAGAAGGATTGAAGTAAAAAAGGTCATCTAGTCCAGCCCTATACCCCAAGGTTTCCTGTATAATCCAAGCAATGGCATGTTCCAAGTAAATAATACACACATAAAAGTAACTTTAATGGAAAAAACTGAAAGTGATTCTAGTCATACGCTACAGGGAAATAGATATTGAGCCATTTTTTATCCTTTTAAAAATTAAGAATCACATTGTTTTTGTGTATTTAGCAACATGAAAATGCTAATGGTGCTATCTCACCCCGGTTTTTTTCAAGTATGTATTGAAGAAATCATAGGGAAAGAAAATTCCCTGTTATGTACAGCTCAATAGCATTATTGCCATGTATTCACAGACATCTGCTTACGGGGCAGAAGTTCCATAATTTTGTATTATGTATTGTAATTATTAATGTTAGCCATAATTTCTTTGCATCTTGATCTGTGGCACATATCTTTGCTTTTTGCTTCTGTGTGATCATTTTCATTTCAGCCTCATTTACTGTATTCTCTCCATTTCCCTATACCCTTTATATTTAACTATTTTAGGAACAAATATTCTTGAAATAAAGGCCATATTTTTTTCTTTGCCACGCTAATGTATATATACACAAAACTTTTTAAAAGATACACTGATTGCATATATTTTAAAATATAATATAGTTCCGGTTATATAATTTATCATGAACTGATTTTCACTTTTATTAAGATGTCCAAAATTTGGTTGCAGTTTTATTGGAGTTCCATAAAGGATCTTTAAAATCTAAATATCAAAATAATCTCTCTACTTAGACAATATTTTATGGAGGAAAAACAGCCTGTTGGATTCTGCTGTAACTTTACTATTTAAAGGAAACAAGAGGATTGGAAATAACCTGCTTTCATGATCTACTTACAGTGCAATAGAATGCAACTCTATAAAGATCTATTTCTGACTTATTAATGGGTGATAATGTAAAATACTCTGAGTTTGAATTATGATATCTTGATCTGAACATGAAAGAAATAATTTATTACATATTTCTTTTAAAACTTTTTTAAAATGAAGGGATTAAAATACAACTGTGAGAATTTTTTTTATAATAGTTGCAAATGTTGGTGCCAAATGTGTAGAAACGTTAACATCATAGAAAATGAGTTTTTTTCTTTCCTATTTTAAAAAAAGAAAATGTTACTTCTGTTTAAAAATAATTATAATTTATTAACATAGATTTAAACCAATATTAATAGTTTTGGGGAAAACAATGCTCTGGTATTATCAATGAGCATCCTCTGCAACATTAGCATAATTTACATTTTTCATTTTATCAAAATAGTTTTGTCCAGGCTAAGTGCCAACTGATGTTGTTAGAAACTTTGAGCTTTCAGAGTCTGTTTCCCTGACTGAATACATAGCTTAGGCAAGATTGTTCTGTCCTTTTGCAGTGATGGAGATGAGTCAAGCCAGGCAGAGTTAATTAAGTCAGGGAGATAATATAGCAAAGGCCAGTTGGGGGCAGAATATAAAGGAGTAATGGACATTCCTACTGTCAATCTACAGAGGCAGCAATAGAATATCAATAATGAGAATTATGAAATCTTTTCTAAAGTAAGAAAATTGTGTTATCTAAAAATGTGCCCTCCTTGATGTTGTAAAATGTTGAGTTATAAATTAACATGTATCGATCAGATTTGTACCATCAAGAAACGCACATTACATTTAAATTTAAAATTATTGGATAAGAAATGACTAGCTGTTTTACTGTGCACCCAGAAGGCATGACATGACAATAAGGTTGCCTTTTCCTTCCAGATATGGAGGTTTATGCACTAAGATGAGTGTTTCAAAGGATGCTGAAAAGAAAGTAGCCATTTTGGAAGAACTGAAGAGTAGATCGGTAATTTGCATGATACAGAGTTAGTGTAAATTATTTTTTAAACTAGTTAGTTCTTAGACTAATACAATTTTTATCCCATCTTTTTTATATGTAATTCAAAGCATCAAACATACCTAAAATTTCTGTCTCCTTTCTTCCTCATAAGAACAACCCTGTGAGGTGGGTTGGGCCGAGAGAGAATTCTGACCCAAAGTCACCCAGCCGGCTTTCATGTCAAAGGGAGTACTAGAACTCACAGTCTCCTGGTTTCTAAGCTAGCATGT